GGAAAATCTGGAAAATCATGGTGCCTGATTCACCAGGATCCTGAAAATTTAATTCTGGCTTCCCCACCAGCCTTATTTTCCATCCTCATACATGTTTGGTCCTTTTTTTTCTCCAGAGGAGAGGAAGGGACTTGGACCGACACTGCTATATATACCACAGTGCCACCCCATCCTACGTGGAAAGTAATAGAGTTCCTTTTTTACGCTGTGTGGTGTATATTACGAAGTGAATCCTGAGGTAACCATCCAGGTATTGATGCTATAGAAGGAACTGATTCATAGGGGCGAGAGGACTGGTCTCAAAATATATCCCCTCCCAAAAAAAGCGAAGTTGCAAAGTATGTTCCCCAGAAAAAACAGTGCCACCCCATCCTACGTGGAAAGTAATAGAGTTCCTTTTTTACGCTGTGTGGTGTATATTACGAAGTGAATCCTGAGGTAACCATCCAGGTATTGATGCTATAGAAGGAACTGATTCATAGGGGCGAGAGGACTGGTCTCAAAATATATCCCCTCCCAAAAAAAGCGAAGTTGCAAAGTATGTTCCCCAGAAAAAGAGGAGGCTGAAGTTGTGCCTTGCTTAACAATTGCCTCGCTTAACAAGGAAATCACTTGACAATTAGGTTTTTGCGATCGCAAAATGATGGTTTAAATGGGAAAAATCCGCTTCACGATGATCGGTTCCCTGCCTCGGGAACCGATTTTTGCATTACGATGATATAAAAACAGCTGATCGTCGGGTTTCAAAATGGCCACCGGGTGAACAAAATGGCCCCCCGCTGTTTTCTAGGACGGATTCCTCGCTTTACAGGCAGCGAAAATGGCTGCCCCTATGGTGGATCTTTGCTGGATGGTAAGTTTTCAGCTCATTGGAACGCATTGAAAGGTTTTCATTGCGTTTCAATGGGCTTTTTTATTTCACTTAACGAGGATTTCGTTCTACAGTGATTTTGAGGCACCACTGTATACACCACAGTGCCTCCCTATCCTTTGTGGAAAGTAACAGAGTTCCTTTTTTACGCTGTACGGTGTATATTACAAAGAAAACCACCCAGATATTGATGCTATAAAAGGAACTGATTCATAGGGGCAGGGGACTGGTCTCAAAATATACCCCCCAAAAGTGAAGTTGCAAAGTATGTTCCCCAGAAAAAGAGGCAGCTGCTTACGCACAAAACAGCTCGGAGAAGCCTTGGGGTTTACAGCACTTGCTCTGGAGCACAGGACTTGCTCTCCCCTGGACCTACTTTCCTCATTAATGCTCAGTAGCAAATAGCTTCCAACCGCCAATAGAGACCCTTTCCAGTTCGTAACAGCTCCGCTACACCACAAGCCAGACATACCAACAACAACGCGCCCCCCCCCCGCACAGCAGCACCTGATGATGCTATGACAGCCCGAAGCCATGAAATAGAAGAAAAGGGCACGGTAAAAGATCACGAAGGAAGGCAACCTTTTCTAAAAGAGGCACATATCAATTTTCCTTTCTTCTCACAGAGACATTAGTTGTATAGCCTGTTGGTAATGAACAGTGTTCCTCTGCTCAGAGGCTTGAGATAAGGACCGAGGACGCACGGATTAGAAGTACAGTGTTTTGATTTCTATCTATACAGCCCTCAATGTGTACGTATAGTGTTTTTGCAAACTGGGACAAAGTGGGTCCCTGCCCCAAGGGGCTTACAAAACCAAAACTCCAACACAGGAAAACAGAAAATCAAGGAGGAAAAAGGGGAAAGAATGGGAATCTGAGGAGGGGACTGGCCGTTGTTTCAGAGACACACAATTAGGCAGAGTTGGCATAGGGCAGCCTTCCCTTAGCTGCCGCCCTCTGACGCTGAACGACCATCCCCATCGTTCCTAACCTATTGTAGTTCAACACGTGTCGTGGGACCAAGAGGCATGCGCAAAGGCGTTGCAGCAAGATGGTCCCCAAGAGGAACCTGAAAGGGAAGGGAGAAAGAGGGAGCATCGTGGAAAATTAATCCCACCTAATTAAAAAGCAAGAGGAAAGGTAATTAAGTCACCTTCTCTATTACCCCAATCTTTGGACTAGTTTAAAAAAAAAGAGGTAGCAGTAAGGTAAAAGATGAAAATGTAAGGGCATAAATGGCATGTAGAGCCTGATAAAAAGTGAGCATGCAAAGGAAGGATGCTGGAGGGATAAAGCATTCAAGAGGCAGAGGTTGGTGGCTCTGACCTTGTGGAAGCAGTGAAGTTGCTCGAAGTTTGAGTCTTAAGTTTACAGGAGTTGTTGACAGTGCTGAACTCTCCCCCCTCCCCCAAACATGTTCACCTTGGACAGCTCCTATAAAGTTGACACTAAAACCCAGAGGGGATTCACTAGGCCTGCAACACTGGAGTCATCCACCTCCCCGGAGTCTGTCTGCCAGCCGGCAGGTCAGGAGGAAGCAGAGGTCACGCCATGTGTGAAGAATGTGTTGCCATCTCTCCACCATCATCGCACACGGCCCATCGGCGATGCATGTGGCAGCTTATGAACTGTACCCATGAACTAGCAGTTCCCTGCCCCAAAGACCATACATTGGTTATAGCCAGAAAGTAAGATGTTGTGGGTAGAGAGGGTTACAAATTAAAAAAACAAATCACCAAATTCAATTCCCTGCCCCAAATATCATACATTGGTTATATCCAGAAAGTAAGATGTTGCGGGTAGAGAGGGTCACAAATTAAAAAACAAATCACCAAATTCATGAAAAAAAAAGCTAATTTGTCAATTCGTATTCATATGAATCAGTGTCCCCAACGAATACGAATCAATGAATGTTTAATGATTTTTGGTTTATTGATTTATTTGACTACAAAACTGCCCTGGAGTGCACCCAGTGACACCGAAATTGCAGGGAAGCTTTTTCTGACTCTCCTCTACGTTCTCTCCAAGTTTATAGACGTTTGGTTTTCAAATGTCCGAGTTACAGAAACCCAAAAACCTCCCCCCCCAAAGTCCTCCCCAAGCACCTAGAGACACCAAAATCACAGAGAAGCTTCCCATCATTGTCCTCTACAATCCCTCTAAGTTTGGTGA